TTTATGTGGAGCACTAGGGAAAAAATGTTGAGATGTTTACAATGATCTTCTCTATTGATAGGCAAACGAGATGCATGAACCTGTTTCTAAACTAATGCAGATGAGAAGGCGGCCTACTCGAAGTTAATTCTTATTTTAAGCAATTTATTCTGGTAGCCATTTGGGGAAAAGAAAAAGTTAAAAAACCCCAACACTCTCAATAAGGGGCACATCGGCCACTACTGAGGCTAATCCTGGAGAAGGTCCTGTGCCCTTTGGTATAGGTTGTACATTTTAGGCATACATAATTTCTGGGTTATAAGCTTTTATACACTTAATATATAGATGATTTCAATAAATTAATTTCTGTTGAACTGATAGTGAGCTGAAAGGATACCGTACCATGGTTTAATGTAAACCACACAGCAATAGTAAAACATTACTGAGCTAGCGCATGATTTCACATGGCGAGCATGGGTTTTACAATCCCATGGGCAAAGGGATGCCCAGATAACTGGTAAAACATTATTTCTGGGTGTGTCTGGATTTTAGTGTAAGCTCCACCCCTCACTGCTGGGTGATCATAGTCAAATTACTCAACCTCTCTGCTCAATTTCCTCAAGTCTCATAGAATGTGCAAGGTGCCTGCATTATGCCTAGCACATAGTAAGATGACCAACAAATATTAGATCCCTTTGCTTCCCCTCTGTTGGATGCAGGATCAGTCTAGTTCTAGAGTCAACTGGTTCCCTTTCATACAGCATCCATCTCGATAGTGCTAATAGATGTGTCAGAGAAAGTGGTCGCCCTTAGCTTGAAGTCTTCCTGATTATAGTAATCACATCTGTTAGCTAATTCTTGACCCCCCCCCCATTCTTTGTTTATTCTAGTTTCAGTCTTGTTCTACTACTAAGTTTAATTTCAGCCTTCCTTCTTCCTTCCTTCCCTCCCTCCCTCCACAAATGCTCTATTGATCTGTAGTGGGCACCGTTGTCTTCTCTGGGGACAAAGTAAATAGTACATCTCTGTTCTTATGGAGTTTACATCCTAGCAAGGGAGACAGACCATAAACACATAAACATGAAATACAGTATATTGTATTACAAGATGGTGAAGGAACAAACAAAGCAGGGTTGGGAGTAGAAAGGGAGGGAGGGGCATTATTTTAGATAGGATGGTAATGGCGGGCCTCTCTCAGAGTGACTAAGGCGGGCCTCAGGACCAAAACCCTAGAGCTCCAGTGAGCCAAAACCTCACGAACGCCTGTGGTGAATGAAATGAGAAAGATGCCCACTGCCCATTTTGTGTTATGCTCACTTATCACAGAGAAATCTTGTATTATTTATTTATTTGTATTTTTCCATATGAACAACTATAAACCTTTTGTCCACCATATATATAAAACACCATATTTGTATAACCATATAGATAGCCATATGGTTATATATATGTGTGTGTATATATACATATATATATATAATGTCCCCTAAAATGTATACATACTTTAACAGCTGATAGCAATTTATGCTTCTTTCTTTTCAGATCTAACCCATTGGAATTAATAATTGTTCCAAGTGTGTATGCACTTTTCAGGACACCCTGTGTGTGCGTGTGCATGCGTGTGTGTGTATGATTATAGCCATATTCTGTTGATTCTGTTTCTCTGGAGAACCAGAGCATGATCTGATTTCCCTATGCCACTACTTTTTCCATAAATACCTCAAGCACTGCCTGCATTTTTGTGTATCTGTTCCGTGTGTTTATTAGCTGTATATACTTTTCTCAAACATCCTTTCTTCACCTTTCACTTCTCTCTCCCATTTCTATTATTTTTGTAGTCTTTTTCAACATCTTTTCTTTTCATTAACTTTCTTTCCATGTTGCCTTTTTATTGAGTGTCTGTGACAATTTCTCACAACTCCTCTCCTCTCACTCCTTACATTGGAAAAAATCCTAAGATCACAGAGCAGAAGGATTTTGCTCAGTTGAGCAAATCTAAGTGTTAGCAGCCATGGTAGGTTCTCCTCTTTACTTCCTTCGTTTCCTGCTCCAGGCAATTCTGATAGGATAGGAAAGCTGTAACTGCCCGAGTATGAAAAACTAGAGCATCTACGGATAAGAGTTAGGGTTATGATGTGAGCACTGGAGGCTCGGTTTCCAAACCTTTTACATGCAACCCAATACCTATAAAAGCATCTCAGAGTGTCCTTTCCCAAAGCTGGAGCTCCCTCCACTGGGACTCCTGTTTGCTGAGGCATATAATGCATGACCAGAAATCTCTAGCAATAATTTCACTGGTAGCAGCTTTCCTTTAGAGTTCTTCCTGTCCCCAGGCCACCTTTAGTCCATGAAGATCTATCTGGAGCAAAAGGTTGCTCACAAGTCAGGATTACTGTCTTTGCGGGGCCCTTAAGGAGTTTATGCTGAGCTTCCTGGGGTGGCTGCCGTGAGGAGGCACCTGGTGTGCAGCTCTTGCTTTTGGTCTTACCCATTCTCCTAGGAGCCCTGCTCAGAGTCCATCCACTTCATGGACATGTCTAACCTCAGGGGCCTACAGAACCTTGACCCAGCCCTAAATTCTGGAATGTACTCAGAGCATATATGCAACTGTAGTTCTAGGAAGTACTCAGGGTTTGCTGGTTCCCCCAAGTAAACAGTTCTCCATCTCAGGTACACTTTGAGGAGTATGTGCCGAGCGCTAAGAACTTCAGATACCGCAACACGTTTGACTCTCCCAGTGAATGTTTGGGGTGTGAAGGTTTATTAGGATCCCCATTTTAAAGATGAGGATATGGCTTGGCATGTCTAAGGCTGCACAACCAGGGAAGGGGGTGGATTTCAACTGAGAACTGTGCAATTCCACAATCAGTCATCTATGCTCTGCTGACTCCTCTAAAGTAGAAAATATATTTACACACAAATGAAGCCCTTACAATGGTCTTATGGCCCAAAGTGTAATCAGTCTATGTTCCATATTTGTCACTCTGGTTTGTGAGTTCTCTCTGTCCTGGTGGCACCCTTTTTCCCTGCGCCCGAGATAATATCATCACTTCTTTCCCAGCCTCTAAGTCACCCAAATTTCCAGTTTGACAGGATGCTGAGAATCATATTTTGTGCTGGCTCATTATTTCATGCCTCTTTCCTTTTCCTTCCCAAGAAGGAAGATAAACTCTTTTGGTGACGTTGCCCCAGAATCCTTCCCTTGTACTTAGCCAATCAAGAGCTCTCCCCACAGTCCTCTCTGCACCCACAGCCAGTGATGCATTGATGGCATTGCTCTTTGGCAGCTCAAAAAACATTCTTGCTGGAAAATAAATTTGTCATCTCCCTTCTCCCCCCCTCAGTGACTCCTACCCTACTGCTTCCTGTTAGAGGCTTTGGAAGCCCTTTGAGCCGTCCAATAGCACTGTGGAGATAACCCTGGTTTTTAAAAAATGTCATTTATGGGAGATGCAATTTCTACTTGGTTAATTTGCATGTGGTTGGTCTTGCATATTCAGTATGGTAGCAAACTGCTTATATTTTTTTCTCCTTCTGAAGTTGAAACAAAAAATGGGTTATGGAACTGTCACCCATGAAGAACTCTGTTAGGAAGCTGCCCTGATGCTTGCTTCTTGCTGGAGTTGGATGGACTGACTTTAATACATTCTAGACAGGACTGTTTGTTCAGTTGTCTTGAACATCACTCCAGTGAGGCCAAGGGTGCACCTCCCATCCCTGTAGGATCTGTGAGTGTGTTCCCCTGGGCACTGGATGCCCCATTCTCCTTGTAAACCTGCACCAGGGGGAGGAGACACAAAGACATCCCCACTCCAAGCACATACCTCACTCACAGACATCACATGTTGGGTGTAAGGGACTGGATATTCTATTTAGTTGATAGTGTCAAACACCTTGTTTACTAGGGGTACTGAGGTGAAGAGCAGTAAATTCAAAGGAAAATACCATCTCAGTAATAATAGTATGAGTATGACTTGTCCATTTGGAGGACACACACAGAAATGCATGGAGCAGAAACAGTATGGTGAGCGAGTATGGTAACTGACACGTTGCCTCTTTCTTTAATGTCTTGATTATATTCTCCATGGGCAGGGAGGGAAGGAGATGCTCCTTGGTTTACACACAAATTTAAGGGAACAGGAGGGAAAACTGTGCGGGTATCTTTACTCAGAAAGGACCGAGTCAATTCAAGACTGATCACAGTGGATTCCAGGCAAAAGAATGCTGCCAAGGGCCTGTTTTAGCATTTTGGACAGTTGCTTGTTTCAGCCGTTGAAAAGGACATCAAGTATGTTAAGAGACTTTTTGGTTTTAAGCATAGACTTCACTGTGATGTAGATCACTTCTTAGTGTTCACTCAGTAGACATATGTACTAGGTACTCAGGGGCTGTATCACTGTCATCTTTGTGTGGTTCAGCTGACATTTTCCTGTTTCATTTGTTCTGAACTGGTCCACATAGCTTTTCATCTAAGCAATGATCATGTGTATGCTTCCCCCAATTAAAATTTGCTCCATGTAGTATTCTACATTGTAGCAGTAATAGTGATCTCCTGTGTCTCCAGTGTTTTTTCTCTCAAGCCCTTTTACCTTTGGCATGTTTCTTAAACTTGTAATCTTGTGTCGTCTCTTTTTAGAACCAAGCAGCAGGGATTTGAAAAGCTCCGACGCTGGAATATGCTGCCCCCGGGACCTTCCCCACCAGGGTAAGTTGGTGCAGTCCATGCTGCCTTAAAGAACCAAAATGTCTGCGAGGGACCAAAACTATCACTTAAGACAGACCTTTGGGATAACACCAGTGGACCAGTCTCACAGGTACTTATTTACAATTGCTTAAAATTAAAAAAGAAAAAAAATTCCAGTAGTGATATAGTTCAGAAAATAAGTATGTGGGCAGGTGGTACAACTTACTGTCAGTAACCGTAACGAATTTGGCGCACACACCCTCACTTCCTTTCTTCTGTTCGTTTCTCGGCTCTTCCAGCAGGTGTCACTATAATCACAGAACAAACATTCCACAGCTTGGTATGTTAACTTTATTTTTCTAGCATAATAATTTAAAGTATTTACACACTGCACACACTGTTTTACACAGATATTTATTCATATACCTATGAACCACATCTAAAGACTCGACACACTGTGGAGTTTCCAAGCATAAAAAGGGGACCAAAAATGTTTTGAGTCTTTTAAAGATAGCCATGTGGAGCATCTGCGAAAACCAGTGTTTTTTCCTCCAAGTTTGAGGCTCCCCAGGAGACGCTGTAACAGCTACAGCCTATCCACGTGTCGGTATGACCCCAAACTCCTCTGGTTAAGGAGGATTTCAAGAACCAATATGTGCAAGTAGCATTTTCTCTAGAAATCCTAGAAAAAAAAAAAATAAAGCTAGCCCTTCTCTAGAGAAATACCTGCATTTCTGAAACAATTATCTGTGAGGATTGTAAATGTTGTACAGGGACACTTATTATTAAGGAGAATAGCTAAAAACACTGGTACTAATCCTAGTGATACAGGATGCATTTAAGCATCCTTTCCAGTTAAGTGATATGGCAAAGTGACCCAATTTTATTTTCCCAACTATCAGTAGAGGTGGTTGTTTTGCTTTCCCTACAAAGGACAAAGGTATATTAATCATACATACGCCAAATCCAGATACTACAGAAATTTCTACTCATTTTTACTTCTTTTTTATACTATTTGCACAGACATAGTGGTTAGAAGTACCCTATTTTCTCTTTCTTCTACTCAATTCCAAAACAAAATTGCTAACTAGCAATAGCTTCTGAACCTGGCACATGGTTTGATAGGTGAACAAAAGCAGCCACAGTTCAGAGCCGATGGTGGTGGGTAGGCCCTTAGTCCAGTTTTTATGGAAGAATGACAGGTTGAGCTTCAACTCTCTGGTGTTGAATATTTATTAAGAAGCAGGATGTCTTATTTTCCCAGACTGGCCAGATTATTCTCCCATATGCCAGAAGATGGAGAGGTGGTTTGCCCCCTCTGAGTGAACCCACAGTTCCATCCTGTGCCTGGATGGTAGGTCAGTTCACTGAGAAAGAACTTCACGGAACGACATCCTCTCCCCCCGTCTGGGCCTCTGGCAGTGCTAACCAATGGCACGTGGCAAAGGGGAGAAGTTACCCAGCCAACTGAAACTTAGCACGATCTGGACCCACATTACTGTGGTATTTAATGTTTAACAACTTTTGTTTACATTAACGTAAACTTAAGGTAAAGCACAAATTCTATTACTTTTCTTGGAACCAAACACATTTTAGATATGACCTACCCATCGTGTTTACTTTCTCAGTCACTGTGCTCATCTGTTGCTGGTGGTGGTTTCCTTTTGCAGGGGGTGCCGACAATGGAACTGAAGAGGTAAGGAGCTTTTTTACTTTATGGGGGTTTTACCAAGTTACATGAGCAACTGACTAACATTCCCCCACACATGTTCAGAGGGAGAATATCTGAATGAGGAGAGATCCCCGGGGGAGCAACACTGCTTAATGAGAACGTCTGGTTTAACTAGTGCCCAGAGTTAGGTGCATTCTGAGTCAGGCCAAGGAAGCTTTTGTCACTGACTCCCTAGTCCATTCATCATGCAGACAGATAAGTACACGGTGTGCAGGGCAAGAGGGGGAAACTTTGTGATGGCTTCTGGGCCTCAGTGAAGACCAGCAGTCCCCAGAGCCTGGGCTCACTGGGGATAGAAACAGGCAGCAGTGTTTCTGAGCCCAAAGAGCCAAGGAATTAGGCTAAGAACGTGGCCTTGCATAATGTATAGAGGATAGCAAGGCATCATCACTGAATTTATGTTGTTGTGTTTAGTCTGTTCAATGAAAAATAGTTAAAAGAGGGAAAAAAGTTTAAACAGGGACATGGGATGAGAAAGACAGAGCTACGGGAGTCTAGCAAAATGCCATCACTAGTCCCTTCTGACCTATAAACACAGCAGTTTCATATGGTTCAACTTAATATACCAGAAGTGCTCAGATAATAACAATCCTAGTTTAATAAGGGTCGTAGGAATATTCTCCCCACCCCCCTGGAAAAGGGACAGTTGTTAAAGAGGGTGAGGACTTCCTCTACATCAGTATTTAACAGAGCAAGAAGCACCTGTAAGGAGGAGTTAACCATCCTTCCAAATTAAGTGAGGACAGGAGAGGTGAGGAACTCACAGGAAGGGGGAGGCCCCACCAGGAGGCAGTGGAAGCCGCACCCCATGGAAATCAGTAGCAATGGGAAAGGGCAGAAGGGGACAGCCAAGAACAGCTACAAAGGTCATCACTGGTCCTATTCAAAGGGTCTCTACATATGGGGTCTGTGTATATGTACTATACATACTAACCAGGTACACATAAATATTTAATATATAAAAAATAAAGTGCTTTCTAACAGGTCCCCAGGCAGGGACATTATAAAACATTTCACAAAACTGCAAAATAAAATCGATACAATCAAAGAACACATACGTGAGAACAGTCAAACACAGTATGTACAATCTGGTGGGTGTCCCAGGACAAACATCCTGTCATATACATGGTATATACATATATACTCTTTTACTCAATATATTATGACAATATATATTTTAAAATTTTGTTATAGACAAAAAAATAAAAGACAACCCCTACAAAAACACAACAAGGATCAAGCACGCGAGTCCCAGACAGAGAGACGAATGGCCACCTCCACGGGGCGTCTGGTGGCCACTGCTTGGGAAGATGTGCCAGCGTTCCTTCCTCGGGTGCAGTGCCTCCACGTCCTCCAAGGCGCTGTGGGCAGCTGCGGTGAAGTTGGCATCCCCCGTGGTGAGCAGGTCGAAGACACAGGACTGGAAATAGATGTCCTTCACTGGTATCTTCTCGTGGCATTGGGCGTTGGCAGTCTCCAGTGTGTAGCCAGGCCAGGCCTGTGCCAGGGAGGTGTGAGGCAGGGTGTGCCCCAGGATGGCAGACACCTGGCCCTGCCCGTCATCGATGCGCTCGCTCAGGGGGCAGCCATTCACACACAGCTGCAGGTCCTGGCTTTCCTCGTAGGACATGGCCAGGTCTTCGGGCATGCGGATGGCGAGGGTCAGGTAGCGACCCAGCTGCCGCACAAACACCGTGGTCCCTATGTAGCGGGCGTGCATCTCCACATAGCGGCCACTTTCCCTTTCCACAATACGCAGGCTCTTGGCGTCACCATCCCCACCGCTGGTGCTGCCATCCACAAAGGCAGCCGGCAGGTCATCTGTCACAGCTTGGTATACTTTCTGATCTGTACACTCACGGTGGGCTTTGAAGATGATCGTGATCTGTGGAAGGAAGGTGTACAAAGTTTAACACAATGGGAGGGAAATAGGACAGGGCTTCCCTCCACAGCAAGAGCTTTCCTCCATTCTGGAGTTGAATAGCTAGAGAAAGAACCTCCAAATTCGGCCCCTTTGCCCCGCCTCACAGACGAATGGTGTTGCTCTGAGGAAAAATTAAAAAGTCCTATGTATTTAGAATGAAAATTCAACAAGTCCAGGGAATATGCATCAGGAAAAAATTTGTCTTTAAGACAGAACAGTTTTGCTGTTGGGATATAGGCAGTTTTTACTGATCATTTATATTTTCTCTCTAAAAACAGATGAGCAATGAGTAGTATAGCTCTGAGAAAAAATGATTCCTTTCTAAGTTATGCAGAAATTTTAAGGGACTTAATTAACAATATACCTACCAGAACTTTGATTCTAAAAAGTTTCTTCGTTGAACTGTAAAAAAAATGTCCCACAACTAATCACTACAAATTTACGTATAAACGCTGAGGGGCTGTAGTGGAGGGTTGAGGAGGGGGCCCTCCCAACAGCAGCTACCAACCATGTGTGCCTCAGGACAGATTTCTCTAAGTCCCTTAATCAAATGTTTCACATGACTGGCTAATCCCTGTGACAGGGAAATCACTTGGCAAATACGGCTCCCAAGCACTGGCAGAGAATAAATGCCCTAAACCTAGTTACAGCAAATGTTTTCCCCAAACAGCACATGGCCCTTTAGCCTTGCAGAAGTTTCCCCCCGCAAGCCAACTCTAAAGTCTCCAAATTAAGCAGACAATTCATGGAAAAAAAACTACTGACAATACAAAAGCTTCCATTTAGTGAACCCACTTTCTTTCCTTAATGAGAAAAATTATTTAAAACAACAAAAACAAAACCTGAACCTCTGAGCCCCTTGGCCTCAAACCACTCCAGATCTCTGGTGCAGGTGGTGGGAGGAACAGGACACGGAGACAGGGCCTCCTGGATCGCACAAGGTGCGAAAACTGTCCCGAAGGAAAGACGACATTTTGAGATTTGTGTTATTGTCAGTAACTGAGGTAACAGCTTATTTTTCTTTCTTGGAGGGAAAAAAAAGTATCAGGTGACTTCAGTCGAGGAGGAAGGTAGACAGGCCAAACACTCTACAAATTACTCTGGATGGAGGAAACCACCTCCTGCAAGGGAACTAATCAAAACAATAGACCCTTGTTAAAAAGGCCAGAAAATGCCCTGGCCCCCTCCCCGCCCCTCTCTCTACAAGTCCTCACCACCACCCTCAAGTTTATGTCTGAAATTTTTTTCCTCAACTCGGCCAGCATTTGCTCACACTATTTAATTCCACATGTTCCCACTGGTGTTACTTGACTGGAATTTTCCAGCCATTTCATTTTACTTCAGCCAGTTGTAAAGCCAGATCTGAACCAGCTGCACTGTAGCAACTGGTTAAATTCATATCCGTTGTTTGCAGCTGCAACTAAAGGCCAGACAATGTACTATGAAAATGCTTGGATTTCTCCCTTCCTAATTACCCCGAGCCACAATTTAATTTCACTACCAGCTTCTCACATTTCAACACCTTCCTAACAACCCAAAGGAGGTGTACCAGAGATGATTTCAGGAAATTTGCTGTGCATCCAACCATAGGACCTTCCAGAGTGAATGGGATTTGAGCTAGATATCTAATGGGACTATAAAATAGATTTATTTGGTGGCTCTAAAGACAGTTTGACAAGTTTTTTTTTAAAGGCAAGCTAGGATCCCTTGGAGGTGAAAAGATTAATTCAAATAAATTCTGCACCTGGAAGAGTTGAAAGTTAATACAAATAGCTAAAGTAAGAGTAATAGACTTTTTATATACTATCCTCATTTTCAACTAGAACATTCCCAAAGATTCCAATAACTATTCTATAATAGCTAAGCAATTTGTCTTTCTGTCTAAAAAACCTCAAATTTAAACCAACTTGGCATTATTTGCAAGAATTAAGTACTTTTTGTTCACCTTAGAAAAAAAGAGGAATTAGTTTTGTTGGCACAACAAAGGGGAGAGATCCAATTCCACAGAAGTTTCCCTAAAGGCAAGTGTGGGTCAATATTAACATGAGTGGAATCATTCCACGTCTTACCAAGTCTCTGCTGTTTTTACCAAGTACACCAATTCCAACCCAGGACTCATTTCAAACCCTCACATTATAATGTCCCCTGCTATGCCTGTGATGTACCTTGAGAAGATCAAGTATAACTCAAACATTGACCTCTGCACTCGTATCTACACTGAAAAAATATTTCAGTTTACCTAACAGATTTATATCTAATTTCCTGTGAGTGATTTTCTCTGAGACAATGAAGCAGATATTTCCCTTTGGGGTGAAATAATTCTCACAGAGCCCATGAATAGGATTAGGGCACGAATCAGAATGCTGAGGGTGATGAATCGATCTCAAAGCAAGACGGGGGCTTCCTGAGTGGTCCTCTGTAGCTTAAGTACGTATCTAGAGATACCATCAATGTAAATGTAGAAAACACTAGGTAACAGTTTCACATGACTTAAGTTTTGTAATGTAATTTCATTCCTCATATAATTACAACACAAGCTCTTAAACAGTAAGCACTCAGCCATAAAGGGCCAGAAGGTCATTTTCAGATTTTGTCTCCCTCTTCAGAAAAACAAAATTTTTTATTCAGTCTTAATAATTCTTACTTTTAAAACATTCAAAATTTAATCAGAAGTTTTGGAAATTCCAAACATTTTGTATTTCCAACTAACAGCTATCAGAGCTTTGTTTTACAGGGCATTCAAAACTGTATTCTAAAGCTCTCAAATAGGCTATGCTTCCTTTTCTCCCTCTATGAACAGATCCATATGCTGTAATAACTCAATTTGGCACATCTGTTCTATGCCACACCATTTATTATTGATGGATGGCATTTCTGTGCATTTAAAACATCAATGCCTTTTGTTAAACCTCCCCCACCCAGTCCCTCTCAAACCCCACCTCAGACAAACTATTCCAGTTCTCCTCATTCATTTTTAATGTTCACTCCTTGAGATCTTTACCACCCACAAGGTCTATTAGGAAGAGAAAGATAGCAGCTACAAATCAACCTTTCCACACATGAAAGCAATAAGGATTTAAGGTTTGCTGTGAAATATCAAAGTTTAGAGGCACTTGCCTCTCCTTTCCACCAGGAAAAAAGAAAAAATACATTTAAAGAAAATGAGGTAGCCAACAAAAAGGAAAACCCAGGGACCGTCTTGCCAAGATACAGACATCTTCCCCAAGCTCAATAGCCTTGTAAAGTGCTGTGCATAGGTTTTCAAACAGCAGAATTCCCCAAAGGCTGGGCACTTAACTATTTGTGCTTATCGCATTTTAGAAGAAACATTTATCAGTGTTTAATCAGGCCGTTTGGCACTGCAAGTGCAGGGCCTTACTGGAATCCTCGAATATCAGAACGGGACTTTTAGATCAAGGGACTCACATCTCTTGGATTAATGGGCCAGGATATTAGAGTGAAATCACTTGGAACATGGGAAACAATTTTGATAAGTACCTGGTTAAAATTCTGCTTATGTGAAAGGAACCTAAATGAATTTTATTTCATATAATTAGTTAATATGTCCCCTTCATTAGATCCTCTGGGTGCCTTACAGGTTGAAAAATTGGTGACTCTGAGGGAGGATCAGGGATCACTGTGCTCACAGCCCTTTACTCTTACAGGTTAGTGGTACAAAGCCTCTGCATTCAGTTCTGTGGAGTGAGCAAAAAGGAAACCATTCCAACAGGAACGCATGCTCTATCTCCAGCTCTTAAACACCTCATCTTTACTTCTGAAGTCAAAGTCTAGGAACCCTGGAAGCACCAGAAGGAAGCAGAAGCCTTTGAAGGCTCCTCCCTTCCAGTGTTTCCCCTGGTCCCCCCAACCACCATTGCCCGACAGGGAAACTGGAAATGTGAATCTGGGCCCAAGTTGAGCCACCCATCTAGACTGGGAGGCAGGTGCCTGTCCTTTGGTTACAAAAGATGGGAGAACACTCTCTCCCATTTTTAGGAGCGGGGGAGGGGGGGAGCATATTCATCTATGGTACCTTTCTGAACAATTTCTAACAAAGCCCAGGAGAATATTTATATGTATTTTATTTAATAAATATTGGGTTGGTTAGTAACTGATGTCAATGACAATTTTCCTTAAAATTAAAGGAAAAATATTTGCTAGGAAGGTGTGAACTCAATGAACTGAAATGTACTTTTACAATCACTACTCAGCCTACATATCAACTATCTACTACAGGAAGACTGAACGTGTATTTTGTTAGGTAATTTTATTGGACTAGGGCAAGACACTAACAAGACGACAGTATGTGTGTTTAAGAGGAGGGTGGCAGATTGGAAATTGTACCCTAGGCTCCTTTTAGGGCTTGAATGAGACTAAGAATTGGCTACTTACAAAAGAGTACCAAATTGGTTTCTCTCCCCTCAGAGTCTCTCTCTCTGCAGAGCTGTTGTAGGAACCCTTGCAGGAATCCAGAAAAATGGAATGGATCAGCCTTATTTATTCTTCAGTGTTGCCCCAGGTAATACATGCAGGAACAAGGGCTGCCTTGGCTGATGGAGGGGTTCTTGGCAGCAGACGGAGAAAGAAGAAACCAAACCAGAGGGAAGGACACCCACAGCTGAGGCTGCTAGGGTGGTCCAGGGGAGAAGCATTAGGCTGAGAGGCTGGAAAGAGCATGCCAGAGTGAAAGGGAAGCAGGCCCAGGGATGACACATAAAAGGGACAGGCAAGAAAATGTTGACTTCCAAAGAGTAATTTCTGTACACTTAAAACAAGGCAGGCTGGAAGTATAAATAGGCTCAGAGACAGAGAAACTGGCTAGCCTCCTTGTACAGACCAGAGCAAGGCTGTGCTGAGCATGAGGAGGAACAGCCTCTGGTCCTTCAAGTCTTAGCCACTCAGAAATCCACAGGGAACTTCTTGTTTGCTGTGTCCAAACTCTGCATTATAAGGAGCCCAGC